TGCAGGATAAGCTGGTGGGAGCTATAATCCAAGACATTTGAGGGCACCAGATGGGCGAAGTCTACTGAAAACCTTGAAGCCTTTGAAAGTCTTCATCCTTCTCTGGAGCACCCGTCGCAGAGGGAGACAGTTGCGTATTGTCACGAAGAAAGAGGTTGCACACAATCCAACCTGACGGGGACCCTTCCCCTGGGCTGCCTTTCCAGCCCCGACAATTCCTTGGGCGACTCACCACCCTTGGCCAAAGAAAATATTCTCTTCTCTTCCCACAGCATTGTCTGATGCCAAGGAGGTCTAATCAAGCAGCAGGACTGTATTACTATTATATCCTTCTCACCTCTCCTATTACCTATTCCTATCACTTTGTTGGTTGTATCTTATGATATAGGAGTGTACCTGATGATCTATGAGCTATGACTGTATTGCTTGTATGTAGACTGAGAGTTTATGCACCAGAGAGAAATTCCTTCTGTCTCCAATCACATTTGGGCAATAAAGGATATTCTGTTCTATTCTATTCCGTTCCGTTCCATTTCATATTTTCTATTCTGTTCCATTCCGTTCCGGTACATTACATTACATTACATTCCATATATTCTATTCTATTCTATTCTGTTCTGTTCTATTCTATTCTATTCTATTCCATTCCATATTTTCTATTCTATTCTATTCTGTTCTGTTCTGTTCCATTCCGTTCCATTCTGTTCCATTACATTACATTACATTGCATTCCATATATTCTATTCTATTCTATTCTATTCTGTTCTGTTCCGTTCTGTTCCATTCCGTTCCATTTTGTTCCATTCCATTACATTACATTGCATTCCATCTATTCTATTCTATTCTATTCTATTCTATTCTATTCTATTCTATTCTATTCTATTCTATTTTTTCTATTCTATTCCATTCCATATTTTCTATTCTATTCTGTTCCGTTCCGTTCCATTCCATTCTATTCTATTCTATATTCCATTCCAAATTCTATTCCATTCCATATTGCATTGTATTGTACTGTATTCCATTCCATTCTATTCCATTCCATATTCTATTCCATTCCCTATTGCATTGTATTGTACTGTATTCCATTCCATTCTATTCCATTCCATATTGTATTCCATTCCATACTGTATTGTATTGTATTGCATTGCTTTGCACTGTTCCGTTCCATTCTCTTCTGTTCCATTCCATATTCTATTCTATTCTATTCTATTCTATTCTATTCTATTCTATTCTATTCTATTCTATGGGACCACTAATTCTTAACCCTATTGAGAAACGTTGCTGCATTTAAACTCACAAACCCGTGGAAGCAAGATTTATTTATTTAACTTCATTCATAATTCGGTCTTGTGCCCACAGATCCAAGAATGGGACAGGAAGATCAAAATGTGGATAAACGCTGGAAGTTTCTAAGAAGAGACTGGACAGCCATTTGTCCGAAATGGTGTAGGGTTTCCTGCCTGAGCAGGGGGCTGGACTAGAAGACCTCCAAGTTCCCTTCCAGCTCTATTCTGAATGAAAAAAACAGAGTTAAACCCTTAGAACGACATCTTCAAGAATCGCCCGTGCCAATAATTGTTTTTATTGAACAGGCGATTAAACATTTATTCAGCAATTCCAATGGAAGGAAAGGGGACCCAACTCACCCCCCCCCCGCAGCCTGCTTCCATGGCAACGCTGTTACCGGTGGTCGTGGCGAGAGATGCAAGCATCTCCTGATTAGTCACTGATCCGCATCACAGCCCCCAAAGGCCAAGGTGGCCTCTCGGGGGCTTTAGCCAAGCCTTTGAAAAGCCCCATGGAGAAAAGCGGGGTGTGTGTGTGTGTGTGTGTGTGTGTGTGTATGTGTGTGCGTGCCCTGGCTTAAAGCTGTGTTCTGTAAAAGAAAAGGAAGCTCACCAAAATTGGGTGGGTGGCATAAACAACTGGACAACCTGGGGTATGTTCTTGGGGACTCCTTAGACCACCCCCTGCAAAAGCAGGTTCAGGAAATCTGAGCAAACGTGGAAACAAGTGGGTGAAGTTGGAGGGGTTCCGCGAGATCATGTAGCCTAACCCCACTTGCCCCTATTGGGAAATCTAAGGCTTGGGCAATCTCTGTCGGGAAGCTGCCAATGGAAAAGAACTGATCTGCCTCTCTAGACATTTTGCCCCGCTGAGAATATTTATTTTAGGTTATTTAATTAATTAAATTTATAAGCAATCCCAGAATCCCCTAGCCCAGGAGTAAGGCAACCTTGGCTCTTTTATGACTCGGGGACTTCAACTCCCAGAATTCCTGAGCCAGCCATGCTGAGGGGAAAGGGAGAGGTTTCCAAGCTGAGCCATGCTGGCTCAGGAATTCTGGGAGTTGAAGTTCACAAGTCATGAAGGGACCAAAGTTTCCCTCATGCTGGCTCAGGAATTATATATATATTAGTAGTAGTAATAGTAATAGTAGTAGTAGTAGTAATAATAATGATAATAATAATAATAATAATAGGCGCCTTGGGTTCAATCCCAAAACAACTGGAGCACCACTTGAACACCATCATCGGCATCGACAAATTTGCCATTAGTCAATTGCAAAAGGTGGCCTTCCTAGGAACTGCTTCCATCCTGCGACGAGATCTGTAATACTATCAAACATCCACATCTGCCTATCCCAGGTCCTTGGGAAGGACTCGACAGGTAGTCAAAAATGCCAAATGCAGTCTGAACATCTGGCTGACTGTGCAATGATTAATAATAATAATAATAATAATAATAATAATAATAATAATAATAATAATAATAATAATGGAAGGGACCTTGGAGGTCTTCTAGTCCAACCTCCTGCTCAGGCAAAAATAGCTGTCCAGTTTCTTCTTAAAAATTTGCAGTGTTGGAGATTCACAACTTCTGGAGGCAGATAAAGATAAATAGAGATAGATAGATATGTACAAATAGCATTATTCCATTGAATAAAAGCCAGCTAATTGATTGATCATCAATCAGTCGATAATCCTGTTCCAAAATTGTTCCTGTTTCTTCCAGAAAAGATCTTTCTGTCCTTCAGACCGAGCCTCTGGGTATTTACAGCTCTATCTATACCAGTGGTTCTCAACCTTTCTAATGCCGCAACCCTATAATACAGTTCCCCATGTTGTGGTGACCCCCAACCATTTATACATCACCGGGTGCCAGGGCCGTGGCCAAAGAAAAGGGGAAAAAAATGGCGGACAGCCTTGTTTGGCGACCCCCGTGAAATGGTCGTTCGACCCCAAATGGCGTCCCGACCCACAGGTTGAGAACCACTGATCTATACCATCAATCGATTGATCGATTTTATGCCTTAAATGTTAGTCTTACCAATCACATTAAGGAGATTTTTCTTCAGGATGATTTGTCCCTAACCTGTTCTTTTAAGTCTTTCAGTGGTGCACTATAGCTGAGTCCATCTATTTTTCCTCCTCCTCCTCCTCCTCCTCCTCCTCCTCCTCCTCCTCCTCCTCCTCCTCCTCCTCCTCCTCCTCTTCCTCTTCTGCTGCTTCTTCTTCCTTTCCTCTTCCTCCCCCCTCAAAATCTCATTCCCATTCCCTTCTTGTACTGATGATGTTGCCTAGTTGGATCATTAAATGTCTGCAATAAATCAACCATGTTCACAGAGTGCTAAGGACCTGACATTTGAACCCTTAGGTACAAATATTCTTTTCCATTAGTAATGATTTGTTTTCTTGACTATCCAAAGTCTTCTCAAGTCTTCTCCAACACCCAAGATGAAAGGCATCAATATTCTTCCCATCCTATTTCTTCAAAATCCAACTTTCAGCTGCATATCATCTGTGTGGCTGTCAATAACACCTGTGTCTGTCGCTCTGTTTCACTCACTTTCTTCTTCTTCTAACTTTAACTGCTTTTCCAACTGAGTTCAAGGCGGAATCCACTAAACTGTGCAAGTACAAATGGTATTTTGTATTTACAAATACTATTTTGTAAACTACGTTGTAAACTAATGCCTAGAAAAATTATTGCTGGTTATGCTCACCTATTTGCAAACTATGTATTTTTTATTTTTTGCTATTTGCTCTTCTCTTTTCCTGCATGTCCTGGGGCAAAACATTATTACTAAATTTTTCATTAATTAGCGAAGACCGTACCACAGGCATGTTTTATACTATGCAATCTTGGATTAATGTGGATTGCTGCTTTTAACTGCTTAACAAACTTAGCTAAATATGGCTTATTCAAACAAAACTTGGTTTAACGTACATGGAAAATCTCAATCACCCGGGTTATGGTTTTTCTCCTTGAAGACGTTTTGCTTCTCATCCAAGAAGCTTCCTCAGTTTCTTGGATGAGAACTGAAACGTTTTCAAGGAGACAAAAAAACCCAGCTGCCTTTTGAAAAAGCACTTTTGGGAAAACCTTGGTTTAAAAGCGGCTGCTTGGTGCCCTGAGGTCTATTTTCACCAGTATGTGGTGTTATCTATGGCAAAACAATAATGGGATGTTTTCGGTGGGAAAGAATGCAGTCAGAAATGGTGCAGGTAGGGTGTGGGGTTGGACTAGATAACCTACAAGGTCCCTTCCAACTCTATTCTATTCTATTCTTTTCTAAACCACTATTTACAGGTCAACTTTTGGTATGCATGGCACCAATAAACCATGACAGTGTACATCATGGTTTAGTATGAACAGAGGCAAATAGATAGGGCCACTAGAACAAGCCTGGAAGCCTAAAAGAATGATACGTAACGTAGGGGCTTCTGGGCATGGGAAGAGCGCCTCTCTCTTGGCAGCTCCAGGCCCAACATGGCTGCTGGCGCAGGCGACGGTAGACTACATCTCCCGTGAGGCCTCGGGCGGGGGGGGGGTGCAGCGGGCGAGGGGGGAGAAACAGAAGGCGTGGGGAGGGCGGATCCCGTCCGGCTCGGCCCCGCCCTTCAACGAGCGCGATTGGCTGAGCCTGGTTGTCGGTGGTGACGGCGGGACGCGGCGGGGGCGGAGCCTGTGTGCCGGCCGCGCTGTGGCCAGTCGGCGGCCGGGAGGCGGCGGCGGCGGAGCGGGAGCCGCAGCGCTGCCGGGGCCATGGGCTGCCGGGCGGGGGCCGCCGCCCCTCGCCGCGCCCGGTGACCACCCCGCCGGCCCGGGCGAAGATGGCGGAGAGGTAGGACCCCCCCCTCCGCGACCCTCTTTCCCGGCTGGCCCCGCTTAGGGGACCCCCTGGATGCAGCTGCGTCCTTGGGGGGGGGGGTCTCCTCCAGCAGCAGCCATGCCTCCCCTCGCCCTTGCGCTCCCCGCGTCGTCACCACGGCTCCCATCATCCGCAGCCTGGGCTTGGCGCGGACCCCTCCTCTCCGCAGGAGCCCCCCTCCCCCCTCGACTCCCCCTCCTCTCTAATTGGGGGGCGTCAAAATCCTTCCTCCCCCTTGGGACGAGGCGCCCCCCCCAGCCAGAGCCCCCCCCAGGATTGGGGTTCCTCCCTTGCACCCCAATCTTTCTCCTCCCCCCCCACTCCCTTCCAGCTGACCTGCTTCTCTGCAAGGGAGGGGCAGGGCCCTTTGGGGTGCTCCTCCAGTCCCCATTTTCCTCCTGCTTGGGGGGGGGTCCGTAGGTTGCTCCCCTATAGGACCCCCCCACCCCATCTTGCTCCCCAGAGGGGGTGTCATTCTGCGCTCCCCCCCTCTTCTGGCCCCTGCCTCCTCCACCTGACCTTCCCCCCTCCTCCGCCTTTCCCCAGAGGCCTCTTTGGAGGGACCCCCCCCTTGGCATGACACCTGCTTTCACCCATCCTTTTGCAGCAGGTGCTGCTTCCTCCCTCTTCCCCCCCCCACCGGGCCAGATTGCTTTGCTATAATGTCCTGGGGTGGGGAGGAGGAGGAGGAGGAGGAGGAGGAGGAAGAATCTGGCTTCAAGATTTGGGGGGGGGGATATCTGCTTTTTAAGGGGCTCCTTTCCCCTGGCACGCAATAGATTTTGGGATGAGAGGGGGGAGCAATTGGAATCGCAAGTGAGCCTCTGAAAGGCTGGATAGTGGCCCTGGATCGTTGCAAGCTTTTATGGCTGTTGCCGTGGCCTGGCGAAGGGGGGTGGTGGAAACGTGTGTGGGTTTAGTGTGTGTGTGTGGGGGGGAGTCTTTTTCCTTGGGCACCCGGCCAGCCAGCCGAGTGGGGCTGAAGGATGGGTAGGGCGGACGGAAGCTCTTGCGGAGATGTGCAAAAGCAGCATGGAGGCTGCAGGGTGGAGGACGAGTGGGGGGGGGGGAAAGGCAGAGGCTTGGATATATATCTGGGGGGGGGGCTTGCTCGGATCCCCCAATGGAAGGAGTTCTGAAGGACGACGAGGTGGGCACGCCATGGTGCGCGACGACGGACCTTGGAAAAGGTGGCACTGCTCCTCCACAGAGGGAGGGCAAATGTGGGCATCTGCCTTCCGTGGCTCCGGTGGGCTGCAGCTGCTTGGTGGTGCATTGAGAGGGCAAAGGTCTGCATTTGGGTGGGGTGTGTGTCTGTGTGTCGAAGCCGGGGGTGCGGGCGTGTGCGAGGCTTAGCCCGGAACACGCTTGGAGCACCCAAGGGCGAGGATGGATATGCAGCTGGCACATTTCTCTCCCTTGCCTCCAGCTTTGCAAATCCCTCGCTTGATCTCTTTCTCTCTCTGATTTTTCTGCAAGGGTTTCTACTTTGGGGAGGGGGGACATCCTTCTTGGCCCACTTGGCCCCCCCCCTCCAAAATCCGGGCAGACTGGATCTGATCTTGGCTTGTGCAAAAGGGCCAGGTGGCTTGCTTGGAGAGGGCCAATGGACACCGTATTGCCTCTGCCCTGTCTGAGCTTTGCAAGGCGCCAGCTGGATGCCAACCTCTCCGTTCTTGGCTCGGATGGCACACACCCTGTGTGGCTGTGCAGAGTTTTGGCAAAAATGTGGTCCTGTTGTTGCTTTCGTGTGAACGCCTTGCAAGATGCTGCCTTGGTCTGCATCTGGGCTGTCAGATGCTAATTGCCTGGGGACGGGGTGGGATGGGGGGGAAACGACACCCTGGCAGTTTGCATAGCAGGGCTTAAATTTAGCAAGAAGTGGCTGATTTTAGGCATTTGGGGTGTGTGTGTTTTTGGGGAGTGGGTGGGTGGGGGACAGAATTTGTCCCCCATCCCCTTTTCTTCTCTATGTTGCATAAATTGGAAAAACGCTTTGCTCTCTCTTTGGATGGAAGAAATCTTCCCTCCAAGGATTATTATTCATTTTTTTTTAAAAAAAATTATTTTGGGGAACTGTCAAGCCAGGGTTATTAACTTGGATGGATCTTTCTCGGGTTTTGCTGCAAGTGTGGAAATGGAGCAAGAGAGACCAGCGGTTTTGTGCTACTGATTGGAATGGGGAAGGGGGCTGTGTCGCACGTTTTCTGCAAAGCGGAAGGCGCGGAGTTTGTGGTCTCTAAAGGTGAAGGAGATGGATCCCTTCCGCTGAGCCTGTGCAAGGATTTGAATTAAACATTGAATTTGAAAAAAAAAACATCGTCCTTAAAGATTTAAATCTAGGCCTGGTGATTTGGCCTGTCATGGATGTGTTTCACTTTGTGAGCGGGCAACTCAATTTCATTTTTGATGTGTGCCATTGTGCCCACAGTATAAAAATGACAAAGGTTATCTTATCTATCTTATCTTATCTTGGGGGGGTGTCCTTGCCTTTTTATGCAAGGAGAAAGTTGGCGTTCAAAGGCTGCTGCTCTCTGCCCTGTGTCCCACAGGTAGCCCTCCACTTACAACAGTTCATTAATAGTGACCGTTCACATTTACAACAGCACTGAAAAAGGCGGCATGGTTGTTTTTCACACTTATGACCGTCGCGGCATCCCCATGGTCACGTGACCAAAATTCAGACACTTGGCAACTGACTCATATTTACGACGGTCGCAGCGTCCCCCGGGGAGATCACGTGATCCCCTTTTGCGACCTGGTGGCGAACAAAATCAGTGGGGGAAGCTAGATTCGCTTAGCGACCGTGGTTACTGACTTAACCACTGTGGTGATTCACTTAACCACTGTGGCAGGAAAGGTCGTAAAATGGAGCAAAGATCACTTGACAAACATCTCACTTAGCAACAAAGAAATTTGGAGCTCAGGTTTGGTTGAACATTTGTGTATGTGTATCTGTATGAAAATCTATATCTGTATATATGTATCTAATATAGATATTTATATATATCTATTTATATTTATATCTCTCTATCAATCTCTATATGTTTATATTTATATTTGTATCTATATATATCTCTATTTGTTTTCGTAGATTTTCACAGGTATAGGTATGCAGATATATATTTATATCTATATCTGTTTATATTTATATCTCTATATCTCTATATCTATGTTTATATTTATGTTTGTTTATATTTATATCTATATATCTATCTATATCTATATATCTATTTATATCTATCCATACATATATTATACTTTATATTTTATGTTATATTTTATATTTTACTTATATTTTACATTTTATATTTTATTATTTTCTGGCTTGACTCCAGATAGTCCTTTCCTTCAGTCTTCTCCCCATTTCTAATAATTTCTAAAGCCCAAGACCTTGGATGGTTGCAGCCTTAAAGATACAATCAGCCAGCATGTCAGCTCTGATTTTCTGCTTTTGCTGAAGCAATTTGATTTTTATTTATTTATTTTTTTTGGGTGGTGTGGACCTGAAGATGCCAGCACGTGGATTCTATCCAGTTTACTGCTTTCTGGTAAATATCACAGAAGAGGCAGCAGTTTTTCCTCTTCCTCCTCCTCAATCTGTTTCTCTTCCAGAATTGGAGGCTGAGCTAGCTGCCTGGGATCTTAGCAAAGAAGAAATAGCTGAGATGAAAAGCCAAAGTCCTAATTTGTTGTGGACAGATCATCTCCATTAATTAATTAATTAATTAATTAATTAATTAATTAACCAGTGGAACTACCTGCCACCAGAAGCGGTGAATGCTCCAACACTGGACGTTTTTAAGAAGAGACTGGACAGCCCTTTGTCCGAAATGGTCTAGGGCAGGGGTGGAGAACCTTGGCTCTTTTATGACTCGTGGACTTCAACTCCCAGAATTCCTCAGCCAGCGTGGGGACCCTTGGATCTTTTATGATTTGTGGACCTCAACGGATGGAAACTCATCAAGGAGAGGCGCAACCCAGGACTAAGGAGAAACTTCCTGACAGTGAGGACAATTAACCGGTGGAACCACCTGCCTCCAGAAGCGGTGGATGCTCCAACCCTGGAAGTTTTTTAAGAAGAGACTGGACAGCCATTTGTCTGAAATGGTACAGGGTTTCCTATCTGAGCAGAGGGTTGGACTAAATGACCTCCAAGGTCCCTTCCGACTCTATTATTATTATTATTATTATTATTATTATTATTATTATTATTATTTATTATCTGAAAATTTGCTCTTCTGCGTTCCTCAATCTGCTTTAAGACCCAAGCAGGATTCCTGGTGATTTTTTTTTCCACATGAAATTCCTGTAACTGTCATGCAAAAATATGGGGGAAAAAATTTCACTGCCTTCCTTTTCATTCATTTGGTTTTTACCCCTCCTCTATTATTATTTATTATAACTCAATTTGAATAGAGCTGGAAGGGACCTTGGAGGTCTTCTAGTCCAACCCCCTGCTCAGTCAGGACACCCTATACCATTTCAGACAAATGGCTGTCCAGTCTCTTCTTAAAAACCTCCAGTGTTGAAGCATTCACCGCTTCTGGAGGCAGGTGGTTCCACTGGTTAATTGTTCTCACTGTCAGGAAGTTTCTCCTTAGTTCCAAGTTGCTTCTCTCCTTGGTTGGTTTCCATCCCTTGCTTCTTATCCTGCCTTCAGGTGCTTTGGAGATTAGCTTGACTGCCTCTTCCTTGGGGCAGCCCCTGAGATACTGGAAGACTGCTATCCTGTCCCCCCCAGTCCTTCTTTTCTCTAGACTAGCCATACCCAATTCCTGCAGCCGTTCTTCACATGTTTTAGTCTCCAGGACTTTAATCTTCTTAGTTGCTCTGCACTTTTTCTCAACTCAAAGTAGCAAACATATCTAATACTCCTTCCTTCTCCTGTTTTTCCCAAACAACAACCTTGTGAGGTAGATGGGCTGAGATAGGATGACCCAGGCACCCAGATGCTTTCATGCCTAAGGCGG